ACAGGGAAAAGTTGAGACAAGATGGGTAAAAGCTCAGAGGGTGAGACTGACAGCCAGGGGGCACTCGTTATTCTCACCTCTGTCCCACAACCCATGCACATACCCATGTGAAAAGGTTTAAAATAAAAAGTGGAACAAGATAGAAAGCCCAGAGGTAAACCCACGCACCTATGGTCACCTAATCTATGACAAAGGAGGCAGGGATATACAATGGAGAAAAGACAGTCTCTTCAACAAGTGGTGCTGGGAAAACTGGACAGCTACATGTAAAAGAATGAAATTAGAACACTCCCTAACACCATGCACAAAAATAAACTCAAAATGGATTAGAGACCTAAATGTAAGGCCAGAAACTATAAAGCTCTTAGAGGAAAACATAGGAAGAACACTCTTTGACATAAATCACAGCAAGATCTTTTTTGATCTACCTCCTAGAGTAATGGAAATAAAAACAAAAATAAACAAGTGGGACCTAATGAAACTTAAAAGCTTTTGCACAGCAAAGGAAACCATAAACAAGACGAAAAGACAACCCTCAGAATGGGAGAAAATATTTGCAAACGAATCAACGGACAAAGGATTAATCTCCAAAATATATAAACAGCTCATGCAGCTCAATATTAAAAAAACAACTCAATCCAAAAATGGGCAGAAGTCCTAAATAGACATTTCTCCAAAGAAAACATACAGATGGCCAAGAAGCACATGAAAAGCTGCTCAACATTACTAATTATTAGAGAAATGCAAATCAAAACTACGAGGTATCACCTCACACCAGTTAGAATGGGCTTCATCAGAAAATCTACAAACAACAAATGCTGGAGAGGGTGTAGAGAAAAGGGAACCCTCTTGCACTGTTGGTGGGAATGTAAACTGATACAGCCACTATGGAGAACAGGATGGAGGTTCCTTAAAAAACTAAAAATAGAATTACCATATGATCCAGCAATCCTACTACTGGGCATATACCCAGAGAAAACCACAATTCAAAAAGACACATGCACCCCGATGTTCACTGCAGCACTATTTACAATAGCTAGGTCATGGAAGCAACCTAAATGCCCATCGACAGACGAATGGATAAAGAAGATGTGGTACATATATACAATGGAATATTACTCAGCCATAAAAGGAACGAAATTGGGTCATTTGTTGAGACGTGGATGGATCTGGAGACTGTCATACAGAGTGAAGTAAGTCAGAAAGAGAAAAACAAATATCATATATTAACTCACATATGTGGAACCTAGAAAAATAGTACAGATGAACCGGTTTTCAGGGCAGAAATTGAGACACAGATGTAGAGAACAATCGTATGGACACCAAGGGGGGAAAGCCACGGCAGGGGTGTGTGTGTGTGTGATGAACTGGGCGATTGGGATTGACATGTATACACTAATGTGTATAAAACTGATGACTAATAAGAACCTGCTGTATAAAATAATTTTTAAAAATTTAAAAGTGCAGGACTTCCCTGGTGGCACAGTGGTTAGGAATCCGCCTGCCAATGCAGGGGACATGGGTTCAAGCCCTGGTCCGGGAAGATCGCACATGCTGCGGAGTAACTAAGCCCGTGAGCCACAACTACTGAGCCCGCATGCCACAACTACTGAAGCCTGTGCACCTAGAGCCCGTGCTCTGCAACAAGAGAAGCCATCGCAATGAGAAGCCCGCGCACCGCAGCAATGAGTAGCCCCCGCTCACCACAACTAGAGAAAGCCCGTGTGCAGCAACAAAGACCCAACGCAGCCATAAATAAATATATATATATATATATTTTTAACATCTTTATTGGAGTATAATTGCTTTACAATGGTGTGTTAGTTTCTGCTTTATAACAAAGTGAATCAGTTATACATATACATATGTTCCTGTATCTCTTCCCTCTTGCGTCTCCCTCCCTCCCACCCTCCCTATCGCACAATAATTTTTTTTTTAAGTGTACATGCACAAGACCCTCCACCCAAGGCACACTGAATGGACGGTGTGGGAGGGTGTGAGGCTGGTGAGCACAGAGCTGGTGTTTCACATGGGGGAAAGGGCTGGAGCCAGTGGAGGTGGAAGGACCATCAAGGACGGGGCAGATCTGGACACAGTCCCAGGATGCCCACCACTGGCTGAACGTGGGGAGCATCAGTACCCAACACTGCCCCTCTCGGTCCTGAAGTGCCCACAGGGGGCAGTGGAAACTGTGCCCAGGCAGCATGCTCCCTGTGGCCTGAAGCCCCCATAACTCAGAGGTGCCTGTGGAAAGTGATGGGAGGGAAGGCTTCTGTTCCTCCTTAAAGAGTCTGTCTTTCTGATTCTACAAAGCACAAACGTAGCCCTTGAGCTGATTCTGCAGAGCTGGGATCCAACCTCTCCTGAGCAGTGCGTGGCCAGCAAAGGGGGAGGTTAGGTCCTGAGAAAAGGCCTGGCAGACAACCTCCTGGCAACTGTCCCCCAATTTCCAGTAAAGCAGAGACGATTGGGAAACGCCTTTCAGGAATCCTCCCTGCGACTTCCTGGCAGGTTCCGAGTGGGATGCTGAGACCACAGAGAGTTTAGACAGTGTCTGGGACCAAGAGGGGCCATTTGTGTGAACCACAGGCGGGTGGAAAGGCCTGGGATGCATCTCCAGATCAGTCCTGTGGGCGTGGCCAGCTCAGGGCCAAGCTGGGAAACCTGGGTGGACACACTGATAAGATTCTACCCTTACTTGATGAGGTCACAGCAGAGCAAGGGCATGGCAGGCCAGCACAGGGGCCCACAGCAGCTCCTCCCCTTGGCCGGGAGGACGGCACAACATTCATCATTATGTGAAGGGACATGCAAAGAAAGGCAAGAAAAGGGATTCCAAGTGGCCATAGGCCAGGTGTAAATCAGGACCCACATGGTGGCCAGCACAGCAAATATTTCTATCTAAAGTCAGAGAAGTGCACAGAAAGTTTAGGGAAAAAATTTTAAGACATCCTGAGGATTAGAAAAACAGATGTAAATCACCGGCAACTGGCCCTGACACCTTCCCATGCATTTCTGTTTGCTCTTCTTGGGTCAGCAAATAAACATGGTCAGCACCAGACGGGCCACCTTCCTTTCTGCTGCAATTCCCACATGCCCACCTGTACTCCAACTCTCCCCTCATCCCCAGCGACCTCCAATCTGTGTTCTGTCCCTATGGTTGCATCTTTTCTAGAAGGTCATATAAATGAAATCATACTGTATTAGTTTCCTGTGGCTATGTAACAAGTCACCACTAACTTGGTGGCATAAAACAACAGAAGTTTATTCTCTCAGTCCTGGAGGCCAGAAATCAGTATCCTTGGGCTGAAATCAAAGCGTCACTGGCAGGGCTGACTTCCCTCCGAAGGTTCTAGGGGAGGATCCTTCCTAGCTTCTTCCAGCTTCTGGAGGCTCCAGGCATTCCATGGCTTATGGCCGCATCACTCCAACCTCTGCCTCTGTAGTCACATCACCTTCTCTTCCTCTGCATCAAATCTCTCTCTGCTCTCTCTTAAAAGGTCACTTGTGATCCATTTAGGGCCCATAAACCCAGGATAATCCCATCTCAGAATCCTTAACTCTTTAAAATAATTTTTTCTTGGCTTTTTTTTTGATCTAAACATAGATTTACATTTATCATATTCTACTATTTTTTTAAACTTTTAAAAACTTTTTTTATTGAATGAAAAATTCTTTAAATTCTACAGTGCTTTACAATTTTCAGAAGTTTCACCCACATGATTTCAAATAATCCCATAATAACCCTTTTAAAAAAAATCTCCTACTCCTATACTGTCCCTCCCTGCTTCCCTCTCCCCACTGGTAACCACTAGTTTGTTCTCTGTATCTGTGAGTCTGCTTTAGAATCCTTAACTTACTCCCACCTGCAAAGTCGTTTTTTTCACATAAGGTCACACTCACAGCTTCCAGAGGTTAAGACCTGGACATCAATAGATAAGGGGGCCCTTATCCGGCTGACCACACAATACTTAGCATAATGCCCTGGAGATTCAACCACGCTGCTGTCACCAGAAGTTCATTCCTTTCTACTGCTTAGTATTAACCCACCATATTATACTACAATCTGTTCATCCACCTGCAGACTAAGTTAGGGTCATTTCCAGTTTGGGGAACTAATGAATCAACTGCTATACACATTCACATGCAGGTTTTTGTGCAGACACGAATTTTCATTTCACCTAATGAACAGCCAGAAGCATGACGGCTGGGTCCGAATGGTAAGCGTATGTTTAACTTCATGAGAAATGGCCACACTGGCTTCCAGGGTGGCTGTACATTCTGCAGTCCCATCAGCAAAGAAGGAGAGTTCCACTTGCTCCCCGCCCATGCCAGGATTTAATGTTGTCAGGTTTTCTATCTTAGCCATTCTCGTAGGTGTGAAGTGGTATCTCGTGGTTTCAACTTGCGCTTCCCTGATGGCGTGGAATGCTCTCATGGACTAATCTGCCGTTCTTGAATCTTTATGGTGAAGCTATACAAATCCCCAACGCATTTTTTAAAACTGGGTCATCCTATTATTGCGTTTTGAGAGTTCTTCTTATACCCTAGATACCAGAGCTTTAGCAGATGAGTTTTACAAAGATTTTTCTCCCAGTCTGTGGCTTGTCTTTTTATTCTCTTAACAATGTCCTTCAAAATGCAGTCCTTAATTCCATTTTTTTAAATTAATTAATTAATTTATTTATTTATGGCTGTGTCGGGTCTTCCTTGCTGCGCGCAGGCTTTCTCTGGTTGCGGCGAGCGGGGGCTACTCATCGTTGTGGTGCGCAGACTTCTCATCGCGGTGGCTTCTCTTGCTGCAGAGCACGGGCTCTAGGCGCGTGGGCTTCACTAGTTGTGGCGTGCAAGGTCAGTAGTTGTGGCTTGCTGGCTCTAGAGCACAGGCTCAGTAGTTGTGCGGCACGGGCTTAGTTGCTCCGCAGCATGTGGGATCTTCCTGGATCAGGGATCAAACCTGTGTCCCCTGCATTGGCAGGTGGATTCTTAACCACTGCACTACCAGGGAAGTCCTGCTCCTTTCTTTTTTTTTAAATGGCTCAATTTTATTAAAATCTTCTAAATTCTTACCAATTTCCCTCTCCTCTCCACAAAAAGAAGTTCCAGAGAACTGCTGAGTCCAACACCACCCCCACCCCAGATCCCACTGCAGGGTCTCTTTCAGACTCCCATGTCTGCATGCTCTCTGCATCATGACCTGACACTCCCTGGGTGCTGACCAGCCAGATGGTGCAGGGTTTGAGGACATCATCTGGTTTCAGCCTCACAACACCCGTGGGGTGGGGTGGGGTGGGGTAGATGGTGTCCTGCCTGCCCCTGACACCCCTGCCTCACCCTGAGCGGCAGCACATGCTGCTCCACTGCTCACACACCCATAAAGCCAACAAGTCGGGCCTAGGCCATGTGGAACCAAGACCACTCCCCTGCTGGGTCCCGTGTCCCTCGTGTGCCAGCCGACACGACTGCCCCAGGTGTCCAAAGCAGTGACTCTACAGAGGGTCACTGGACAAGTCAGAGCACAGGGGACGTCGGTACACAGGAAGGGCAAAAGGACCTGCAGGGCAGGGTCTGGTGTGTGTTCTACTTAAATGTCAGTGGGTGGGCAGCATCTGAGCCCTGACTGGAGGGGAGCTGCACGGACTTGCTGGGCACAGGCTCTCCATGGAAATCACAGCCAAATTGAACATGATGACTTGTGGTATCAAGGACAGCAGGCATCCATCAGGAAACTCACTCCCATCTTCGACTACTCAGATATCAGGGTTCCTGCTGTTACGACGGAGGAAAATAAGGTACGGGGGGGCAGGGCTGCTGGGTCACAGGGCAGGGCTGGGGGCCCCACTCCACCAGCAGAGCTGATCCCAACCTCACAGGAAGGCCAGTCCTGGGGCCCTCACACTGCTCATGCTTGGTCACTGCCCCATTAGACTGTATCCCAATTTCACAATTTATCCAAACTCTTTGTGAAATGCACGTGACCCGGTCATAATGGGATGAGACAAACATTTGCTAAACAATTCTTCACATTAAAGTGCTCCTATTCCGCTGAGCCCTGTTCCATCCACAGCTGCCCGCAGCACATCCCAGGCCTACCTCCAGGGGAGTGCGCTCTCATGAGCCACCAACCCTGCCACCTCTCTGAGCTCTGCAACCCACGCCTGCGCCAGGCCCTCTTTTCAACACCTTTGCCTCGTTATTATTTCATCTTTCCCATCTGCCTTTCCTCAAATAGAAAAATTAAGAAGCAGCCCCACGTCAGTACCTGCTGCACGCCCCCGGCACACGCAGCCTGCAGCACTGAGCACAGCCTGCGGAGGAGCCAGGTCCACACGCTGGACTCAGTTCCCTGTCCCCAGATGGCCGAACCTCGGATCTCATCTTGTCTGTGTTACCGCTGCCCTGTGGGAACAGAGCAAGCTTGCGCAAAGAACCACAGCACCGTGTCTTGGAGTTTGCAGCCCAGGCCCCTTGCTCTGCTCCGGGGACCTAAGGCCCCCTCCCTCTGAGCAGGAGCCCACCTCAGGGAGCTGTGTCCTTGGCCTCATCTTACTCTCTTTCAGGGAGCCCTTGACAAGGCTGACGGAAGCACTCCGGAAATGCAGACAAAAAGGCAGAAAGCTACCTGGGGCATTCTGCACCATTGCGCTTCTGACGTGCCTCGCCAGGAGCCTGAATGTTGAGTGGGCTTGTTTTTCCTTTTTATTTTTTATTTATTTTTTTAATATTTAAAAAAGAATTTTTTTTTGATGTGGACCGCTTCTAAAGCCTTTATTGAGTTTGTTACAATACTGCTTATGTTTTATGTTGTATGTTTTGGTTTTTTGGCCGCAAGGCATATGGGATCTTAGCTCCCCGGCCAGGGATCGAACCTGCACACCCCCTGCATTGGAAGGCGAAGTCTTAACCACTGGACTGCCAGGGAAGTCCCTGTTTTTCCTTTTTAAATGCCCACTAAAACTCATCAACAGGCACTGAACTCAGCATCAAACTTCACTGTGCCCAAACCTGTCCTCTGCCCATGGCCTGGGGGCAACACGACCACACACACACACACACACACACACACACACTCTCTCTCTCTCTCTCTCTCTCTCTCTCTCTCTCTCTCTCTCTCTCTGTCTCTGTCTCTGTCTCTGTCTCTGTCTCTCTGTCTCTCTGTCTCTCTCTCTCGCTCTCTCTCTCCCCCAGACAGCAGTGACGAGGATGGAATCTTACAGCGGAGGAAGCTGAGGGCTTGACCTAGATGGCCCAGGTACTCTGGGGCGCAGCCCAAGATGCTAGTCTGCATCTCGGCATGGGGCTCAGCTCGAGTTGCTCCCTTCTCATCACCTGCAAAGCACCCCAAACCTGTCCCAGGAGATGCAGGCACAAATTACAGACAAATAAATGCCATGGCTGAGAACTCGGCCTTCTCTCCCCTTTGGGATGTGATCCCCCACCCCACCCCATGGCCTCCAGCTGGTGCCCACAGCAGGGTCACTCTCCTGTATCTCCTTCTCACACACACAAATGACCTGCAATCTGGATCTGGGAGCTGCCAGGTCAGGGACCCACCCTCCCAGCCTAGGAGCTCACTCAGCATTGGTCCCACCGTGTCACCTCGGACACATGCTCCCAGTCCATGTTACCTCTCCACACCACCAGCCTCTGACCAGCTTCAGGCATCAGCTCAAGGCCATGTTCAACACCCTCCACCACTTCTACCACTGCAAAGGAGTAAATCCTAATTGCTCAGAACCACAGAAAAGGCCTCACCATGCAGACCCTGCCTTGAACACACCACCACTCACCAGCTGGGGACCCCGGGAAGGGAGACTGCCTCTGAGCAGAGCCGATTCTCGATCAGCTGGGCAGTAAAGGCTGCCTCCACCACAAGGTTGGGTCAGAGACATGGCCTTGGAGCACAGGCTGGGATACTGTTCCTGAGGGTTCCAGAGACATCCTAGAGGCTTGGAGAAACGTCTGGACAAGCCAACCTCCCCAGAGAGCTGGGTAACCTCTCTCTTTCTAGCAACTCTGATATATATATATTTTTTAAAGATTAATTTTATTTATTTATTTATTTATGGCTGCATTGGGTCTTCGTTGCTGCGCACAGGCTTTCTCTAGTTGCGGCGAGCGGGGGCTACCCTTCATTGTGGTGCGCGGGCTTCTCATTGTGGTGGCTTCTCTTATTGCGGAGCACAGGCTCTAGGCATGCGGGTTTCAGTAGCTGTGGCACACGGGCTCAGTAGTTGTGGCTCGCGGGCTCTAGAGCGCAGGCTCAGTAGTTGTGGTGCATGGGCTTAGTTGCTCCGTGGCATGTGGGATCTTCCCAGACCAGGGCTCGAACCCGTGTCCCCTGCCTCGGCAGGCGGATTCTTAACCACTGCGCCACCAGGGAAGCCCAACTCTGATATTTTGAGCCAGAAAACTCCAAAAGTCTCAAAGAGCCATCAAAATCTGGGAGAAGGGAATTCCCTGGTGTTGCAGTGGTTAGGACTGCGTTTTCACTGCCAAAGGCGCGGGTTCAATCCCTGGTCAGGAACTAAGATCCCACAAGCTGCGTGGCAGGGCCAAAAGAAATAAAACAAGAATTTGTTAAAAAAAAAAAAAAAATCCGGGAGAAAAGATGGCCTAGGGCTTGGGACCCGCCTACAGGTCCCTTGGTCATTGGCCTGCTCTTATGGCACCAGGGGGTGGGCACTGACTGGGCCCAGGGCTCGTCCTGGCCTGCCCTCAAATGTGTGGGGCAGGAGAGAGAAGAACAAACGTGACAAACAAACACGTGTGAGGTGTGTGCTCTGGGCAGCAAGGCCTCAGAAAGCCAACATCGCTGAATTCAGCCCACGATCTTCCTTCTCCTGGAGGAGCACTAGGGCACCATGCACGGAGCTGGGCTTGGGTGCAGCCTGCAGTTTGGGGATAGGGCTTTGAGCGGCCAGGTGGCTGGCTCAGATATGGGCCCCTAGTTACCAGCTACATGTCCCAAGAAAGTCTTCAACTTCACAGGGTCTGACATAGAGCAGACTGTATGAAATCGGCACACTTTTAAACTTGTCTTTGAGAAACAGAACCTAACCTGACCTGGCCGAGGCCAGGCTGTGCTGGACCCTCGGGGAGGCCCTGGGAGCCAACACTGCCCTGAGTCCTGCACCTGCAGAGCATCTCCACAGTGAGGACCCGTGTGGCTGTCGGGCACTCAGGTCTCATCACTATCAGAGCCCAGAACGGATCAGTCCCTTCCGATCCTTGCTTGGCCTCCGACAGACCCAGGTGTCAGACTTTGGGAGCAACAGGATCCTCTATCACCCTGACAGACAGAACAGGCCTTCCCAGAACAACCTGGACTTTCAGACTCTGGACACTCAGGAGCTGCTGGAGCCCAGGGAGGCAGGGCCCAGCTGCCCATCCAGCTGTCATCCCAGCCATTGGCTTCAGACCAACCTCTCAAACGGCTCTCTGCCAGCTGCCGCTGCCGGGTGGTGAGTACAGCCCCTTCTGAGCACAGACGGGCTGACAGGGAAGTCTGTGGGGCGGGTTGCCTCTACCACACTCCTTCTGAACTGGAGTTCTGAGAGATGTGCCCACGGGCCCCCGGCAGGTGAGCAGCGAGTGACGCTTGGCCCAGGCCGCCTCTCCAAACACATCAGCTGCCACCTGGCTCCCATCAGCAAAAGGATCAGCCCTGTTCCTGGGTTAAGTTGTGCACAGGTGTCCACCAAGGTCCACCAACTAACTGCCCCCCAAGAAACATGACCTGCCCCCAGAGCAAACAGCCCAACGAGAAATGTCACCAAACTGGGCCCATCCTGCAGAGCGGGTGGGGCAGCAATGCTGGTCTCTTCTGGGGTGGGAGCAGCATGTGTTCTGCCAGCAGCTTGCACCCACTGGCCCTCAAGAGCCTAACCGTGGGGACCTCCCGTGGACAAGGTCACGTGTTTCCACAATCAGCTCTGGGTGCATGAGGAACTGAGGCTCAGGGAAGCCAGCAGCTTTGCTCAAGGTCACCAGCTCAGGAAGCGGCAGAGCACACACTCAAACCCAGGACGGCCCCCCAAACCAGGAGGCGGAGGGTCCTCTACTACTTTAGGACAGATCTTTTCCCCTGACTGCCTTTCCTTCAGCATCAATGGGGCCATGCTGCTTTGGATGCTCCTGTCACCCTCCTCAACTGGCTGACCAGCGTCCTCGCCGGAGCTGCACAGGGCGCTCCTGTTTCTGCAGATCCATTTTCATTCATCAGCCTGCTGGAGGAGAGTCTTGCCCTGAAAGCACAAATGAGCCAGAAGTCTGAAACCGTCAGCCACCTTTTTACAGAACATCTTGTCACCTGCCTAAAAACAAAAGTGACTGATCTCGGCTCAAAGTGACAAGATTAAGCACTGTGTATTTGTGTAAAGCTGACGCACCCCAGAAGCCAGGAGGCAGCTGGAGTTCTGCTGAGCAAACTGCGGATCTGAGTAAGAACAGAGTGTAGATGTAAATGAGGAGTCCTTCCAGGACTCTTACAAGCATTCGTCAAATCACATCCTACAGCCCTGGGGGCTCACGGTGACCCCCTTTACGATACTCAAACCCAGCACTTGTGTGACACCCCCCCAAGCCACTGTCCGAGGCATTCTTCCCTGGATCCAACCAGCTGACTCCTCAACTGAGGCTTCCTCAGAAAGGCTCCCAGTGGGGCACGCTCACTCGGACTCCTGCCACCAGGTGAGGACATCTCCCTGACAGACATGCTGGGCTGGTCTGAAGATGAGTCCCAGGAGGGAGGATGTCCTATCACTGCTGGTCTCCAGGATGGTGACCATCTCCAGATGGTCTGGCACCAGGTCACCCAAGTCAGGGCTCAGCTGCATGCAGAGTAGAGACGTGAGCCAGCCCTAACCACACCGTGTGGCAGGTGAGACGCTGCTTCCGGGAGCAGGGAACAAACGTCCCTGCCTGGCTATCTCTCCTAAATATGGTCTGGAAATAATCCCAAGCTCACAGAAAAGCTGCAAGGGCACAAAGAATACCCAAATACCTTTAAACACTGATCTGCTGCTAACTTTTCCCCACCTGCCCACAAGCTCTCTGCCCCTACGCACACATGCACGCCATAACATATAGATTTGGGTGCACGTGCTTGCTTTCCCAAACCAATTGAGAGTAAGCTGCACACACCACTGCGCTTCACCCCTAAACACTCAGTGCGTCTCCTAGGAGTAAACCACATGACAGCCGCCAGTTTCACCGTGTTCATTACTGACGGGACACTGTGCACCACTGTCTACCTTCCACGTTGCCACCTGGCTCGGTGGTGTCCTCCCACTGCCCTCCCTCCAGTGAGGAGAACAGCACACAGCACTGAGCCACCCCGACTCATCAGCCACCTTTAATCTGGAGGTTTCTTGGCTGTTTGTTTGTTTATTTTTGGCTGCATTGGGTCTTTGTTGCTGTGTGTGGGTTTTCTCTAGTTGTGGCGAGCGGGGGCTACTCTTCGTCACGGTGCGCAGGCTTCTCATTGCAGTGTCTTCTGTTGCGGAGCACAGGCTCTAGGCTCACGGGCTTCAGTAGCTGTGGCATGTGGGCTCAGTAGTTGTGCCTCGTGGGCTCTAGAGCGCAGGCTCCGTAGTTGTGGCACACGGGCTTAGTTGCTCCGCAGCACGTGGGATCTTCCTGGACCAGGGATCCAACCCGTGTCCCCTGCACTGGCAGGCGGATTCTTAACCACTGCACCACCAGGGAAGCCCTCTTGGCTGTTCTTTGACGTTTAGGACATTGACATTTTTGGAGGATACAGGCGGCCCTGCCTTTTCTTTACTAGAGCACGCTACACTTTGGGTCTACCTAGTGTCACTGTGATGAACTGCACTGTGCTCCATCCGCATGACGGGAGGTGACCATCGTCCTCCACGGCACCCCACCCAGAGGCACTCACAGAGGGGTCTGTCTGCCCTTCTGGGACGGTTAACTCTGATCACCCAGGCAGGGCCACCCTGTTCGGTCTGCCTTCTCCTCATGCGGGTCACAACAGACGCTTGCTCTCCACCCACAGCCCGGGTTCAGCCAGCCCCACCCTCCACAGCTTCACGGTGGTGACTGTAAAACTCAGTCCCTGTCTCTGGCAGCCTCGGCATCCCACCATAAGCAGGAGCCCTCCCTTTTCCCCACTAATTTATTTACATGCTACCATCAGCAGTATGGTGAATTTCATGTGTACTTGGCTAGGCCAGGGAACCCAACTGCTTGGTCAGATACCAGCTGCAGTGAAGGCATTTTTTAGATGTGATTAACATTTAAATCAATAGACTCTGAGTAAAGTAGATTACCCTCCACAACCCTCCCAATCAGTTGAAGGCTGTAAGAGAAAAAAGGACCAAGATCCTCTGGAAAAAGGAGGACTTCTGCCCCCGCACAGCCTTTGAGCTCAAGATACAACATCAGCTCTTCCCCGGGTCTCCAGCCTGCCAGCCCGCCCTACAGGTTTTGGACTTGCCAGCCCCCATGACTGCATGACCCAATTCTTTACAAGAAGTCTCTTCTCAAACACAAGGGGCCAATAGACACATGAAAAGATGCTCAACATTGCTAATTATTAAGAGAAACGCAAATCAAAACTACAACGAGGGGCTTCCCTGGTGGCGCAGTGGTTGAGAGTCTGCCTGCCGATGCAGGGGACACGGGTTCGTGCCCTGGTCCAGGAAGATCCCACATGCCACAGACGCGGCTGGGCCCGTGAGCCATGGGCCGCTGAGCCTGCGCGTCCGGAGCCTGTGCTCCGCAACAGGAGAGGCCACAACAGGGAGAGGCCCGCATACCGCAAAAAAAAAAACCAAATAGAAACATATTTTCAAGTTTAAATTAGAAACCATAATAAAACCTAGTCTTTAAAAAAAAGAAAAAAAAAAACTACAATGAGGTATCACCTCACACCGGTCAGAATGGCCATCATTAAAAACTCTACGAGGACTTCCCTGGTGGCACAGTGGCTAAGAGTCTGCCTGCCAATGCAGGGGACACGGGTTCAAGCCGTGGTCCAGGAAGATCCCACGTGCCGCGGAGCAACTAAGCCCGTGTGCCACAACTACTGAGCCTGTGCTCTAGAGCCCGTGAGCCACAGCTACTGAGCCTGCGTGCCACAA